CTCCCGGGCCACAGCAGAGTGCTGGCCTGGAAGAGGGGCAACCGGGACAGAATCCGGTGCCCCGACTGGGACTAGAACCTGGGGTGACGGCGCCGCAGGTGGAGGATTAGCCTAGTGAGCCACAGTGCCGGCCAAGGTCTTGGGTTTCTTAACCACTAGGCTAGACACCTCCAAATGCAAATTCTGAATCCTTAATATATAAACTACATAAACTTTAAATCAAGTTGTCCCATACCAGAGTGCCTAGTTCGTTTCCCTGCTCCCTGGCTTCCTTTCCAGTTTCCTGCTAATATACACTCTGGGAGGCAACAGATGATGGCTCAAGTATTTGTGTCCCAGTTATGCATGTGAGGAGCCTGGACTGAGTTCCAGACTCCTAGCATGGGCCTGGCCCAGCCCTCGCCATTGCAAGTTTTTGAGGAGTGAAGCAGCACATGGAAGATCTCTTTCTCTTTCTCTGTCTGCCTTTTAAGTGAAAAGAAAATAAATAAAGAATAAAGATTAAGACTAAGACTAACATCTATTCCTGGGGAGAGACATTTGACCTGGTAGTTGCGATGCTGGTTGGGGCACCTCCATCCCCTATAAGAATACCTGGGTTCAAGTCCTAGCTCTGGCTCCTGATTCCAGCTTCCCACTAATGCAAACCCTATGGGGCAGCAGATGGTGGTGCAAGGAGGTGGGTCCCTGCCATCCACCTGGGAGACCTGGGTTGAATTCCAGGCCTGGGCTAGGCCTCACTCTTGCAGGCATTTGGGGAGCAAACCAGTGAGTGGGAGCTTTCTGTCTGTCTGTCTCTCTCTCTCTCTCTCTCTATATATATATATATATAAATAATACCACATATATATGTGTGTGTGTATATATATGCATATATATACACGTGGGTTTTTTATTAAACACTTTTGTTTAGTGTGCAGCTCTTGTACTTTTGGGGGTATCATGCAATATTTCAACACATGTATACACTATAAACTGGTCAAATCAAGCCATCAGTATTGCTGCTTCTTTACCTGTTATTTATCTTTGGAGTGCATCAGCACCTCTCTTCCAGTTCTTTCTATAGTATATGAAATGATTCTGAATGTATCTTCCAGCATATAATACGTATATTATATATCAAGATGCTTGATTTTTGTATAATGACTATTAGTTTCCTATTGGTGGTATATTACCCCAGATTTAGTGTCTTAAACCACAAAAGTTTACTACCTTCGAGTTCAGAAGGTCAGCAGTCTAACATGGGTCAACAGGGCTACATTTTCTTCTGCATCCTCTTGGAGAGGATTAATTTCCCTGCCTTTCCCCCCTTCTAGGGGGCTGCCTGCCTGCCTCAGCTCCCAGCGTGTTTTCCATCATCTTCAGAGCTAGCTAGTGTAACACTTCCAAACTTCTGTCTAGGGACTGATGATGCTGGCAGCCAGTATCAGAGCAGAGCTTTGAGTCCCGGCTGCTCGGCTTCCTACCCAGCTTCCTGGGAAGGCAGTGGAAGGTGGCCCTGGGGCCCCTGCCACGTATGGGAGGATAGGATGGAGTGGCTGGCTCCTGGCTCCAGCTTGGCCCACCTCTGGCTGTTGTGGCTGGCTATGTGGGGAGTGAACCTCTCACCCCCTGTCTCTCTCTCTGTCACTCTCTCTTAAAAATAAATAAATATTTTTTAAGTGAAAGAAAAATATTTCTCTAATACTCCTACCTCCCTTTTATAAGGACTCTTATGGTTGCCCTCACTGGATAATCCATAATAATCTTCCTGCCTCATAGTCCTTAACATAGTCATGTCTTTAAAGTCCCCTTTTGCTGTGGAAGGTAAATCTTTCCAGGTTCCAGAGAGCAGGACTTGGAGATGTTTGGGGAGCTATGATTCCACCTGCCATAATGACCTGGTAACTTAAAATCTTGATAACTTAAAAAAATTATTTATTTATTTATTTGACAGAGTTATATAGAGAGATGAATATATAGGGAGTTTTCCATCCACTGGTTCACTCACCAAATGGCTACAATGACTGGGGCTGGGCCAGGCGGAAGTCAGGAGCCAAGAGATTGTTCCAGTTCTGCCACATGGGTGCAGGGGTCCAAGGACTTGGGCCATCCTCTGCTGGCAGCTTTACCTGCTACACCACAACACCCACCCCGATAGCTCTTTTTTTTTTTTTTAAGATTTATTTATTTATTTGAAAGAGTTACACAGAGAGAGAAGCAGAGAGAGAGAGAGAGAGAGAGAGAGAGAGAGATCCTCCATCTGCTGATTCACTCCCCAGATGGCCGCGACAACCAGAGCTGAGCCGATCTGAAGCCAGGAGCCAGGAGCTTCTTCTGGGTCTCCCACATGGATGCAGGGGCCCAAGGACCTGGGCAATCCTCGCTGCCCCCTCCCCCCCAATAGCTCTTTTTAAAGGAGAAGTTTGGCTAGGTGTTTTTCTTGTTTTTTGGTAAATGCCTTAGAATTTTTTATATTTTAAAAGTATCTCTGGATTCAGAATATCATTGGTGCTTCCATCCACTGGTTTACTCCCCAAATGTCTGCAACAGCTGGGGCTAGGCCAGGCTGCAGCCAAGAGCTCCATCTGAGTCTTCCACACTGATGAATGGGACCCAAGCACTTGGGCCATCTTGGACTGCTTTCCCAGGCGTGTTAACAGGGAGCTGGATCAGAAGTGGGGCAGCTGGGACTGGCACTGGTGCACATATGGGATGCTGGCATCACAGTGGCAGCTTTACGCTCTATGCCATAGTGTGGGTCCCCAGGTGTCATATTTTTTAAAGACCCAAGGCTCCCTGGGAATCAGAGTGCCCAAAGGATTCCTGTCCCAGCACGACACACTCTCCCTCTCCATTTCTGTGTGGTTTAGCCTTCCCACCAGGGGCGGAACTGCCTTCAATCCTCCCTTCTCAGTCTCTTTTCCGTTTCTAACCTGTTCAGCCTACACTCCACCCCTCTCCCCAACATCTTTAGGAGATTCGGATTTCATGATTTTGTGGTCCAAATGTCAGCTGCACACCTCAATACTTGCCTCATATGAAGAGAGTTTAGAGAGCTTATGGGAGGGGACAGGCTTCTGGCATGATGGGTTAAGCTGCTGCCTGCAGCGCCAGCATCCCACGTGGCTGCTGGTTCAAGTCCTGGCTGCTCTACTTCTGATCCAGCTCCCCGGCTAATGGCCTGGGAAGGCAGTGGAAGATGACTCAAGTTCTTGGGTCCCTGCACCCACGTGGGAGACCCAGAAGATGCTCCTGGCTCTTGGCTTCGCCCTGTTCCAGCCCCAGCTGGTGAGGGCATTTGTGATGTGAGCCAGTGGTCATTTGGGAGTGAACCAGCAGATGGAAGACCTCTCTGTTTCTACTTCTCTCTGTAATTCTGTTTTCCAAATAAATAAAATAAATCTTTTTTTTTTTTTTTTTTGACAGGCAGAGTGGACAGTGAAAGAGAGAGAGACAGAGAGAAAGGTCTTCCTTTGCCGTTGGTTCACCCTCCAATGGCCGCCGCGGCTGGCGCGATGTGGCCGGCGCACCGCGCTGATCCGATGGCAGGAGCCAGGAGCCAGGTGCTTCTCCTGGTCTCCCATGGGGTGCAGGGCCCAAGCACTTGGGCCATCCTCCACTGCACTCCCGGGCCACAGCAGAGGGCTGGCCTGGAAGAGGGGCAACCGGGACAGAATCCGGCGCCCTGACCGGGACTAGAACCCGGTGTGCCGGCGCTGCAAGGCAGAGGATTAGCCTAGTGAGCCGCGGCGCCAGCCAAATAAAATCAATCTTAAAAAAAAAAAAAAAAAAAAAAAAAAAAAAAAAATTGGCGTGGAACTAGAGTGGCCCAGCCACAGGCCTAGCCCCGAGCCCCATCCGGGGCTTGTAGCCCAAGCCTCATCCGGGGCCCTCCCCCAGAGCCCGCCCTCCTCCACCCGGAAGTGCCACAGAGAAGCGCGGTCCTCCGGGCAGTCTAGAGCGGTCATAGGCAGGCTGAGGCGGCGTAGGAGCCAGTGTGTTTGCGACGCGACAGCCTCTGGGTCCTCCCCTCTGCTCGGGTGAGTTCCCCGAAGCCGGGTTTCGGTCGCGGGTGGGCCGGCCCCCTGCTTCACCTCCTCAGGAGGAGGAGGAAGAAGCGTCCCGGCACGGCCGACGGCGGCGGTTCCCGTGGCCCGGTGCGAGGGGCCCTGCTTCGCCCCGACGCCCTGCGGACCAGGGCCCCGCGTCAGGACCCGGTGACCGAGGCCCGGGGTGAGCCGGGTCCGTGAGGCCTGCCTCGCCCTTCGGGGACCGCGCCTGCCTGTAAAGGGGAAGTGGGTGGGGGCAGCGCGGCCCGAGCTCCGAGGGCCCTGGCGGAGGGTTGGGCGGGGAGGCCGGAGCCCTGCCGTACGTCCTTGGGTGTGAAGGGCACCCGTCAAACCTGTGCGGACCGCAGCGTTCTCCCTGCGTTTCTCTCGCAGGTTTGTGGGGGGAGGGGGCGGCCGGCCCAGCTCGGCTGAGTCTGCGAGGGTTCCGACCCCCACCCCCGAAGCGGTTTTGTTATTCGTTAAGCGCATTTAGTGATTTTTTAAAGAGGGCTGTTAGCAATTACCTACTAGTTCCTCAGGGGCCTGCTTCGGAAAAACAATGAGTAATCGGAACTGGCACGTTTCTCTGGGTGGAGGCTCGAACCTTGAAAGGTGGTCAATTTTTAAACATTTGAAAATCTCGCAGGAAACTTTTACATGATTAAATGGTACTATGTGGGGGTGGTTGTTTTTTTTTCTCTTGATACCCCAACTTGAAATTAGTGGAGGTCAAATGCATTTGCGTATTTGGATCATATGATTTGGCTTTTACGTATTTGAATACTATCCATCTTTCTGTTGTCTGTTTCAGGTGGTTAATCCTCATCAGCTAGTTTCTGTAGAGTATTTGCTGGATGGGAAATAGATGGCTCGGTCGTGAGACTATAAAATGATGGGATAGTTGAACTCCTGACAGTAACTTATCCTGATCTCCCCCCACAGTGATGGTGATTGCCCTCCGGAATAGGGATGGAGGAAATACCGCCCCAGCAAGCAGCAGAATCTCCAAGGGTCCAGTTTCATTCTTTGGAGAACCAGTCTGAGTATCTGTCCCCGGAGCCTCCGTTCGCGCAGGACACCGACATGGAGCAGGGACTCACTGGGGGTAAGGCAGAGGCAACACTTCCGGCCAGAAAAGTGGGGATTGTGAGAGGGGCTCCTGGGCTTGTTACGAGAAAGGCCGGGAACTCCGAGAAGATGATGGCGGCCCCTCGAGGGAGGACGGGAAGGGAGGGCCGGAGCGGCTGCTTGTCTCCTGGTCTGGGCCTGTCTGTTAAGGACAGCGCGTTTTGCTTTAAGAAGCAGAGCGGTAGCCACTTGCTCCCCTCTGGCTATTTTTTCTTCAGGCAACCTTCATTTCATCTTGGTTACCACAGCCAAAGTGATTTCTAAGGCTTGCTGCTTTCGCTACCTGTCTCAGTCCTTGCCTGGCTCTCATTTCCTCTTCATTCAAGGCCTTTCCCTGCCCTCCCGCCTGCCTTTCACTCTGGTTCTTTCCTTGGTGACTTTGTGTGCTTTACATGCTTTGCCGCCTGCCACTCTGTTGTGACCACAGCATTAGTGACTAATGTATTTTGGTTAAGAAAGCAACCAGTTAACTCCTTGGTTGAGCACACAATGCCCTTGGGAATGCATACATATCCTACATTGACTCTACAGTCAGTTTTTGGATGGTTGGTCTGTAATTTTCTTCCTCTGTCTTGTAAGAACTGGGTTGTAGATTGCTTATGGCCAGCACCTTAAATAACTTGTGTGTCAGCAACACAGATGGAGTACCCCAGAGTGCAGGGTGCTGTGGACCCCTGCAAACGTGTGGGAAAGGTTGTGGAGACTCCTGGGAGCTTTGCATACTGGTTGTCGAGACAGGGCCCATTTATGAGAGAACGCCTTTATGGAGTTTGTAGAACAGTGTCTGCAAAGGGGTCAGACATCTCCTAAAGTACCGTGGCCCTGGAGAAGTCACCACGAGTGTTTACGCTGTGTTCATTTTCCTGTGAGGGGAACGGCACGTCATGAGAATGAGGTGGAGATGAGATTTCGTAATGAGAGCCTGCATCGCAAGTCTAAACCTGCATAAGTAGGGCCTGGACGTGGTGAGCAGGAGCGGAGCAGACACACCCAGTGCCTGAGAAATGTTTGTTGGGTTTACTAGCGTGTTGATGTGGAGGAGGATCCTGTTGACCTCTTGGGCTGGAGCGGCCTCTTCTGAAAGGGAGCCCTGGGGAGGGGCTGCTCTCACTCTCCTTTCTCCTCCCTCAGCGCCACCTGTCCCCCAGGTGCCTGCTCTTCCCCACGAGGGAAGCCCAGGAGACCAGGCAGCTGCACTGTACCAGGTGAGCTGAGGCACCCTCCACCTCTCCTCAGGAACTGCTCGTTAAGTGTGGTCTCTCCCAATCCCATCTGCAAACCTTGCCTGGAAGTTTTTTCAGTAGCAGACCCCCTTTGGGGTACTGCTCTTCTTCAGAGACCCGGACTTCACACAAACCCCTTCCCATCTCCCCAGCACCACGAGCAAGCTTGTTGCTTCTTCCTTTGTCCATGGTTCTGTGATGGGCACTTACTTGATTTTTAAGGGTTGTGGGATTTATTCTCTCGGTTCTAATCTGTTCTCCCATCTCCCCGACATAAATGCACACTGGATACCCTATCATCTTCTTCATTCTCTGGCCATGGTGTTACAGTGGCCTCATTCCCCAGAGCAGCCAGAATGTGTTATTTCAGGAGTTTGTGACATTCGAGGATGTGGCTGTGCACCTAACTCGAGAGGAATGGGGATGCCTGGACCCTGTTCAGAGGGACCTCTACAGAGAAGTGATGTTAGAGAATTATGGGAACGTGGTCTCGTTGGGTAAGGACCATCTTCCTTATTATCCAATTTACCTATATCGATTTCTTTGCTTTTTTGAGTCGGTGAGAGGTCTCTGAGGAGGTTGTTAGGGTGTGGCTCAAATTTCAGGTCTTAGAATCTCTAAATCCTCTGTCTTTAAGGTCATCTCTGGGAAGGGTAGGTAAAGTTGCATTGGGAGTGTTGAGAAGAGATGTTCTGCTGATTTTCAGTTCATGTTCCCTAGTTTTGTGGGACATCCTGTTCCTTCTTAGCAAAGGGAACCTTGCTTGTGCTTTGCCTAAGTTCTCAACCTTCCCTGTCTTTCACTGCCCCAGTAGCTTGAGAATTTCCCATTTTCCTAAGGAGAAGAAGTGCCTTTTTTTTTTTTAAAGATTTATTTATTTGTTTGAAAGTCAGAGTTACACAGAGAGAGAAGAAGAGGCAGAGAGAAAGAGAGGTTCTTCATCTGCTGGTTCACTCCCCAACTGGCCGCAACGGCTAGAGCTGCGCCAATCTGGAGCCAGGAGCTTCCTCCGGGTCTTCCCATGCGGATGCAGGGGCCCAAAGACTTGGGTCATCTTCTACTGCTTTCCCAGGCCATAGCAAAGAGCTGGATTGGAAGTGGAGCAGCCAGGCCTCGAACCGGTGCCCACGTGGGATGCTGGCACCGCAGGTGGCGGCCCCCAGAAATGCCTTTTTTTAAAGGTAGACTCAAATTGTTGAGCAGACAAAAATCCTTGTTGTTGTACCTGTTGAGATCCCCATGTTCATCTCTGAGCATGTAAGGACTTGACTCAATGTGAGTACACCTCAGTGAGGCACCTAGATGGTAATCCCTCGGGCAGCAGCAGTCTGTTACTCTAACGCAAATGGGCAATTCTCCTTCTCAGAGAGAGAGAGAGAGAAATGGGTTGGGCTGATCTGAAGCCAGGGGCATGGGTTCCGGGGCCGAAGCATTTGGCCATCTTCCACTGCTTTCTCAGACCATAGCAGAGAGCTGGATCAGAAGTGGAGCAGTGGGGACTCAGACCTGGTCCAAATGGAATGCCGGCTCTGCAGGCTGCAGCTTTACCCCTTGTGCCTTGAACGCCAGCCCGGGGTAAATTCTTACACTGATCTCTCCTTTGTTATTTTGAACAGCACTGTTAGGCAGCTTGGATCAGGGTCTGTAGTGCTGTCAAGAAGTGTCAGTCGGGGGTTTCGAAGCCCCCTTGATGTGAGCATTGTTCTTTTTTTCACTTTTCTCTTTTTTTGGCCTTTTTTCTCATCCCTTTTCATGTGGGTATTTGTATTTACACTTTTTTCCTGCTTTGCCTATGCTAGTAGCATCCAGGGTGTTGCTTTGTCTCCCTGATTGCATTCAGGATTCACAAGTTCTTCTCTTGCCCTCAGAGAAGGTTTTTAGTGTGTGTTTTCTATTCCTGGCTCTTTGATCTTTGTAGGCATACTTCTCCGTCTTCCCACCACCCGGCTTCATAGTGTGAATTCCTGCCCGGCCCTGAGTCATACCCAGGCAAGTGCTTTCTCTGGAGAAACACTTGCAGTCCTTACAGCAGGAATCTCCAAGAGATGGTCCAAGTATCGGCTTCCCATCGATATTGTTCGTCCCTCCTCGGAAACTCCTTTTCCACGATTGTAAGATATTAAACTTGATTGATGGAATAGATGCTCCCCAGGATGCCACTACCATGTAAAATTTCAGTTCCTTAAATGACCTTTGTTAAATTTCTAATATAAGGAGCCAAAGAAACCTCCATTGCAACCAGGTACGTTATGAACCCAGTTCAGAAACTGCAGTTGGTGGTCATCTGCTTGTGTTCTGAGAAACCACAGAGTTCAGCTCCAGGTCTTCAGTTATGATCTTTCTTGTTATTTTGGAATGTGAAACATGTGGTGTGCCCCTCCTTTTCTGTAGCAAACACGACCTGACCCTCCTGTGGTCCCCTGGGCTTTCCTCATGTTTCACATCATAGTTTTCTCCTTCCTTGAAATCCCTCTGACACTCTTCAGGGTCATGCCTTCCTCCCCTGGATTCTCTCTGGTGCTCTACAGATTGATGGATTTATGGTACCTTAGCACTGTCCTTGACGGAGGGGGAAATGGGAAGGCAAAAAGTTAAATTCTTTTATTTCAGGGCACAAAAATGTATGAATGTATATTTAATTTTGTAAACTGTACACTGATATATATACATATATATAAAATTGTAAACTATTGTTCATTTTACCTAATTACAGAATTTCAAACAGCTACACCTGTCTACTTTTTGGAGTAAAAACTTTGTAGTAGTCTCACAGCACAGCCTGGTATGAAACTGGACTTTTTCCCATTTCCTCTGTTTTGTCTGCACACACAGGACATACATACATGCTCACACACATCAGGCACATACGAAGAAACTCTCCTATTCAGCTTGTTTTTGTGACCTAGTCAGTAGCATCTCCTTAGCAATTAATTTTTCTAGTCCTTGGGAAATCATTTTAATACTTGTGAGTTCAGCAGACTGCACCTGAAAGTAAGCTTATACATGTATTGATTTAACTTACTGTTTGGGGTTGTAAAATAAAGGCTTTTTAACTCAGTCCCTGATGTAGCAGCCTCACTTTCTGTTTTATATCTTTTCCGCATGGCAGTAGCCTTGAATCATGTTTATCACAGACATCAGGACTCTGGTGAATTGGCTTCCACTAGAAAGCAGTCAATATATACTGTATAAACAGCTGAGTACAAAAGTCGGCAACACATAGTTTTCATTATCCAGTTTTCAAAGAATATTCTAGTCATGATAATTGAGTAACCTGCTTGAGTGTTGTAACCAAGGGAAGGTAGCTGTGACTTAGTGCCAGATCTCACATGGGTCGGTGTGGTAGGTGCCCTGTTAGATGATGGTACTAGCAATTAGCTTATCAATTCTAGTTGATGATTAGTGGGTTGATAGATTGGGAATGTTAGGTATATATCTTGTGCTTTTTGAACTTGATATCTTGGAGGACAATAGTATGTTTCCACAGTTTTCTGTAGTGTGGCATTTACTATGTGCTGATCAGCCAGTATGTTACTGAATACTATGTGTGTATCTCTTATTTAGTCCTTACCACAACCCTGTGAGTAGATGATACTATTTTATTTCTGAGGAAATAGGCAGAGAAGTTAAATGATAGGCTTGGAACCCGAATCTGTCTCTGAAACCCTTTTCCACTCTTTTTTTTCCATGCTCTTTTCCACTATTTTGTGGACAAAATTCCAACCATATAAAGAGTTTCTTATGTTTTTGATAG